CACACACACACACACACACACACACACACACACACACACACACCTCTCCACTTTCCAGCACCCCCCCACCCCTGTCACACTGAAGTGGTTATTTTTAGTGTTGGGGATGCAGCTCACTCTGCCTGCATCCGGCTCCACAGAGAGATTAATGGAGCACAAGAGAAAGAGATAGAAAGGGAACACACGTGCACACTCACCACATGGCAGGGGAAGCTTGTAGGGGCGAGTGATTGACTGAGAGAGAGGGAGAGAGGACCGATGGCTGGTGAGGAGAGGACTGTATATGTGAGAGAGAGAGAGAGAGAGAGAGAGAGAGTGCTGGCAAGGGTGCAGCCGAAGGTGCATCTGTCAATTACTGCCTACTTAAAAGCAAAGTACCCATTTGAGCTCGTCTTTGTCGAATGCATGTTCAGTGCAGTGAACGTTCCTCACCCCTTTGGCACGACTGCCTTGTCAGCAGCTAAAATATCAGGAAGGAGACTTTACTTTGATGTTGGCTAAGAACACACATGCTTCACGACACTTCCTACTCTGGCACTGGTTTCTTGAATCTGAATAATATTTAAGTGATAAGAGTGATCCCAGGGGTTTCCTGGGGTGATGCTATTTTTAGAAGCCAATTTTTCCACAATGATTATCGCTCCTGCTCTCTGTCACTGACTAAGTAAATGACTCAGTGTCTTTCTTTGTCACCATCATATTTGAAACTGTATTTTTTGCCTTTTTTTTCTATTTACTTTCCTCCTCTATATTAGTGAGTCGGGCTGTAGGCTGTGCAATATAAAGAAATTCTTCTTTACATCCGTTCACACGTGCATGTTGCTGAATTTCCATTAGATAGATTTTAAGTAGCCTGTATTTTTTTCTTTAAACCTAACGTCAGTGAAAAGAAGCAATCATCAGGGATTAAATACCAGTCCGCTGAATATTAATACTTCACTCTTGAACATGGGGATGATGGGAATCGGCAGGGTGCAAGACTAAATGAATAATGAATAAGCTTTTGACGTCACTGTGGTTTTAAAAGTCATTTGGGTACCTCCAGTAGACCCTGCGTGGAGAAAATGGCTGTGGCACCTCAGCAGAGATTCGTCTGTTGTGTACAATAAACCGCAGAACTGTTCAGTGTTTTATCCATCAGCCTGTGTTGACAGGCATGATGGAAAACACACGGGTATCGTTCAGGCCATCTGTCCATCCAACAAGTCACTCAGAGACCCTGACGTCTCCTGCTGAACGGATGTAGTCTTTCATATTGAGAGCCTGGCATCTGCTCAAAGAGCAAAGTTTAGTTGTAGACCTCACACTTTCTCTGTAAAATGCCAGACTACTGTCAGTCACCAAGCAACCATACTTTGATGCACATGAGCTACAGGCAGAGGCTCGCACTGCAAGCACAGGATGAAGCCTTTGAGATCCGATGATGGAATATGATCTCTTAAAAAATACACAAAAAAACCCCCTGACAGGCTAATTTCCTTTTTCTTTTCTCAATTTGTTCACAGTGAAAAAAGGCAAGCTTGATGGACCACAAGGTGAGTTGTGTCACGGATGTACTGCATGAAGCTGTTGATTGTAAAACACTGGGGTCATTGAGACCGATGTTTGAATCTGTTCATTTTCGCAGAGAAATTCAACACATACGTGACCCTGAAGGTGCAGAATGTTAAGAGCACAACCATCGCTGTCCGTGGCAGTCAGCCATGTTGGGAGCAGGACTTCATGTTGTGAGTGCTTCTCGTCCTGACAATAAAAAAAAAAAAATCCAGGGAATGAAGTTGGAATAAGGCAAACTTTCCACACCTCTCCGGCATGTGGTTACTTTAGCAGCTACCAATATAGCACAGCTAAGTCTCCAACCAAGATTGTCATAAAATGAGTTTCAGCTTTAAGAAAAGAGAAGAATGCATGAAACGAGGACAGTATTGTGGCGTTGATGTTTTTAACTGCCGGTTGGAATTGAGACAACCTTCTAAGAGTCAAAGCTGCATTACCTTATTAAACTATCAGCTCTTTTGTTTTATTTCCATAAGACATTTATAATGTGAACATATTCTTAATTAGTGAAACTAAACCTGTTTTCTCTGCAGCCCTGAACTGTCCTAGACATTACCTGGTGCACGTGCATGTGAGAATTCAGACATCTAATATGAAGCTGTCTTTAACCTGCGTGATGTCCAGTTTCACCCACGTGAGGAGTGAAATTGATGTTATCAGGGTGCTGTGGGAGTCAGCTGTAACATTTGTGTCGCAGTTTTTTTTTGTTTCTGTTTTTTGCTGCCATTCTGCCTCCCTTCCACTCATGAGTGATGGGATGAAATAACACCTCTGCTGCTGTTTGCTCTGCTCCGGCAGATTTCACACATCTAGTCATGAAAGTTTCTCCCCATTCAAGCTTTTTTAACACCTTAAAACTCCAGAATATCAATCCAACAGAAAAACTCTGCTACAGTCATGGTGCTAAATTAAATGTAAGGAATATCTTTAAAGAAGGGCTTTCCTCTACTTTTCAGCTTTCGGGGCCAGCACACCATCCAGCAAAGTCACCTGAAGATGTGTTCATCTCCTAAGGAAGCACTTTACGCTCATTATTAGGTTTTTTTCTTCATTTAAACCTAGCTTAGGAGCATCACTGTTCAGTAACGGGAGATGCATAGTGAGCTGATAACCTGCAAGCCAGATACGTAGTTGCATTACAAATGTTAGCTGTATATGAGCTTTTGAGTTCACTGTTGTTTATCACACATAAATATAGATAGTTTCTGTCTGTGCAGTCACTTATATGTTGTCGGGAGCCTGGCTGACTGTCACCTGTGCTTTTCCATCTTCATGCTGAATGACTCATTTCCCTGAGCAGATTGAATCATGGTGCATATCCATCACCAGATTAAATTCAGCTCCTCGAGGAATAAACTGTATTTTTGCTAAAAGTCTTGTGTAAACAGCCCAAGCCTCCACTCAGCTCATGACAGTATTCTGTATTTAACTTCTTTTTTTTATTCCTCCTCATTTTTCTGTTTGCTTGTCCTTTTCTTATCCCGCCATCTCTACTGAGCAGTGAAATAAACCGCCTTGATCTGGGCCTCACAGTGGAGGTGTGGAACAAGGGGCTGATCTGGGACACCATGGTGGGCACCTTATGGATCCCCCTGCGCAGCATACGGCAGTCCAATGAGGTTCACCACATTCATCTTTCTGACTCAGACCTTTGGTTTTATTGGCAATGCTTACTAGCATTTCTGAATTTAGCATACTCAAACTCACATATTAAGCCGTAGATGAGAAGATTGATGGCACTGGTCATTTGTATGAAGACAGCAAATTAGATCCAGGGCAGAGATGCCAAAATACGTATTGATCACACAGTAAGTGTTGCTGCAGTCATGTTTGTCCTTCTGTCTTTTCCAGGAGGGACCGGGTCAGTGGCTGACCCTCGACTCCAATGCGATCATGGCTGAGAACGAGATCTGTGGAACCAAAGACCCGACCTTTCATAGGCTGCTGCTCGACACACGCTTTGAGCTGCCACTAGGTTTGACATTTATCAGTGTTGTGTCAATAATAACGTTTAATTTATTTTGTATTAATTTGAATTCCTTTTTTTAAAAAATGTTACTAGTATTAGTACTGCTGCTACTTTAGAACTCTAAAGACTGTCTCATGATTCCTATTAGTACTTTTTCTAGTAGTTGCCTGATACAGTTTTATTACTACTTCTACTACTAATACAACTAGCGCTCTAATGCCAGCCCTACTCTTTGATATAACTTGAGAAAATTCACTTTAAACTTTGGCAAAACAGTATCAGCACAAAGTCTTACAGCGTAGCGCCCAATATTTCACGTGCCAAGTGGAGAATCTCAAGTGTTTCTGTTTCTGCAGACATCCCAGAGGAAGAGGCCAGATACTGGGCGAAGAAACTTGAACAACTTAATGCCATGAGAGATCAAGATGTAAGAATTTTATTCTGCTGAATACTCTTTACTGTATTACCACAACTTTTTCTGCATTGTATTGTTTCCTTATTCGTCTGTTGTTGCCGCTTTTCTTTGCCTCAGTACGCCTATCAGGAAGAGCAGGAGCGACCACTACATGCACCATCCACACAGTGCTGTGAGTGCCGCCAGCCTCCTCTTCTGCATTTACCTCCTCCTGCGCCCGATCCTGCTGTGCCCTTTTTATGCCTCCTGTGTTTCCTCTCCCCACTCCCTCTCCTCTGGCTCCTCAGCTTACTGAGAAGAGGCGTAGACAGGAGGTTGAAATGAAGCTAATAGATGAAGGAAAGGTTAGCTGGCGAGAGGAAGGAGAGCCGATGAGATTAATCACAAATGCATGCCTGCCTGAACACTAGAATGACTTACAGGTGATAGATCCGTGATGAATGTGAGATGACATACGGGGGGTGTCAGACACACTCCCACGCCTGTCCGCCTGTCTGGCAGTGGTGACACTGGGAGCAGGTGCATAACTGTGTGGATACTATGGACCTGTGGAGAGAGGGGTTTGGTTTGCATCACGGTGCTTGTGTTTGTGCAAAGAAGATGTGTGTGTTACCTAACTGCATCGAGGCCAGCTGCCTTAAAAACAGTTTTTTCTAAAGACCTTGTGTTTTTCTCTGCTCAAACACACACACACACACACACACACACACACACACACACACACACACACACACACACACACACACACACATAGACAGCCACTTATAAACTCTCTCCACACATATTTACATCATAAAACAATTATTTCTGAGGGCTAACGATCCTCCTCGTTTGTTTACCCTGGTTTTGTTGACTGCTTGTGTGTTTAATTTGTGGCCCAAACCTAATTTGGTTTTTCCGACTCCTTTATCTCTTCGCAGGTAATTGGAGTCTGTGGGGAGATCAACAAAGTAAGTTTCTTTCATGCAGTTCTGCTAACAACTTGGAGTAATTCTGTATTTATTGTCCATGTCTCACTTAATGTAATGATCTCCTTGCATAGTATTCCTCAGAGACCATTAACTGCCAAAAAAGTATTTCTTCTCCACACATCCTCCCTGAACTTCCTCTCACCTCATACCCTTGCTTTTGCAATAATACCTCAAACTGTTAAAATGAAATTGAATGCAGCTCTAGCCAAACTCAGGATGCATACATATTTGATGAGATAAAGATGAGTTATTTTCGAGTGATTCATTATGAGACAGGAAGCACATAACCGAATAACTCCCACTTGCATCTCAGGCACTGAACTGTCTAAAACTCTGTTTCCACAAAATCGGAATCTTTTGCAAATCGTTTCAACCCGCTGGTCGACCTGATCAAACATCTCACAGCTGTATGGGTTTATTAGCAGCAGGTCAGTCTTTCATGAAGACATACTGTGGATAGGATGAATCATTTAATAAAAGACTGCGTGGGGGAAAAGTTTCACAATTTAAAAATGATTATACAGAATCTACAAATCAAGATCCAAAACTACGGTGGCCCTGAGAGGCCAAACGGACGGCAACTTAAGAAAACACCAGCAATAAGAAAGACGCAGCAAAAGCGCCCAAACACAATGGAAATAGAAAAACGACAATGTAAATAGGAAAAAAGAAAACAGAAATAGGAAAAACAAAAACAAAAATAGGAAAAAACAGATTTCCAAAAGCACAAGGGAAGTGTTTCTGGGGAGACAATAACCCGACGGACTAGTTGTAGGAACCAAAACATGCTAAGAATTGCGCTGGGAGACAATTAAAAGAAGTGGAGGATCTATTGGTTTTGTGAGGAACGAAAAGATGAGAGGTAAGTGTGCTAGCCTAACTATTAGCCTAAAAATCCGTCATCAGTATTATATGAATCATGATAAAACTACCATGTTTTGGGTTCCTGCAACTGGTCCGTCCGTTTATTGTCTCCCCAGACACACTTCTCTTGTGCTTTTAAAAATCTGTTTTTTCCTATTTATGTTTTCGCTTTTCCTATTTCTGTTTTGTTTTTTCCTATTTCTGTTGTCGTTTTTCCTATTTCCGTTGTGTTTTGTGTGCTTTTGCAGCGTTTTTCTTATTGCTGGTGTTTTCTTAAGTTGCAGTCCGTTTGACCTCTCAGGGCCACCGTAAAAAACAGTTTTCTCTGTTTCCTGTAAAAACGTGTCTTGTTATTCTTTTATTCTAGCCTAACAATCTTTAAGTATTTGTAGGTCAATACAGTTACATTGTAATTTAAATTAAAATAGATTAAAATTCCATTTAATTATAGGGGAATTACATAGTCACAGGCCTACAGATGTTTCCCCCCTGATTTTTAGGCTCTCATTTAGGATTGAATGAGAAGGAAAAAAACTGGATTCTGAGCAGAGACTTCAACTATCTGAAAAGAAACAAGACCACCCCCCTTCTCTACGCCCCAGCTCTTTCATTACACACTCAATGTACTCAATGGTCGTCATCTTTTTGTCTCGCCAACCTCACTTCGTTCTGTCTCCCGCTGTTTTGGTGAACAGACGAGGACCCAGACAGCGCAGTGGATGACAGGGACAGCGACTACCGCAGTGAGACCAGTAACAGCATCCCACCTCCTTACTACACCACCTCCCAGCCCAATGCTTCCATGCACCAGTATCCCATGAGGCACCAGCACCACAGACACTCCTACACTGACGACATCAATGAGCTGGACTATGATCACAGAGCTATGAGGTAACAGGCGTACTACTACTGAGACTGAAGAACAGGGTTTTATTTTGCCTATGTGCACCATAAAGTTTAAATGCAACATAGAGAGAGGAGTTTTTGGTCACACAGAAGATCTAAATGTTTTAACGTTGTGAATTTAACATCACGCTGCTCGTAAACGGAGCACTCCTCCCCGTCTAGCTCATAGCCATGAGACAAGTGAGCCCCTGCGGCCTTGTTTTGTTGCACTGTGTTGTACATAGTAACATGTCCCACTGTGCTCTCCTTCTCTAGAGAATAACCCTGGCCTCAGTGTATACAAGCATGCTGGGGTGCAGAGTTCTTGTATACAGGTTTTGTATGAAGCGGGCCTTTGTGGTTATCTTTCACGTGCGAATGCGTGTGCGCGTGCTTGCATCTGTGTGTGCACGTCGAGTGTGTGAGCATCAGAAACCCCTTGTGATTTCTGAACATAATGGTCGTCACTTTAGACATGTATATATGAAAGGAGGAGAGGCTCTAAACTCATGCATTTCTCAGAAAAGCTTAAATTGAAAGTTTGACCATTTGCTTTGTCAAGGCTGAGATGGATATAATAAATCTCAGCGTCAGTGAGACGTCTTTGTGCAGAAGCTTAATGGACAGGTTCATATTTTCAGCAGGTTGTACTTGCTGTTATTGTTTCTCCTTTTTATACTCTCTGTAAAGAGAGCCCTTCCCCATCCACTTCCAGTGTAAATGATGAGTGAAATCCATATTCCTTGTCCCGTGCAAATGTATTCATCTGAAGTTAATATGAGTTTTCGGTAATCTGATTTAGACGAGCAAAGAGGCCGTGTTCAAAAGATATTCGCTTATTAGTGCAAAATTCCCTAGAAGATGAAATTTCCCACTGAAATGATGGGAATATCTGCATTTGGTTGAAATAACCTCAGCCTCATATTAACTCCAAATTAAGATTGAGCCAGGACTGCTGTGGATCACTTATAGATATTAAACGCTGGCGGGAAGAATAACAGCAAGTGATATTTTCATGTTCATGTGGACGCCTGACTGATGTTTTAAGACAACTTTGTGAAGTTGTCGTTAAGCAGGCGGCACAGAGGCTCAGTTTGAGTTATAGCTGTCTTTCCAATATTTGCACTGAGCTCTACTGATGCTCCTCTCCCACCTCTCCCCTCCTCCCCACCTCCTCCCCTGCTCCTCTTACCAGACGCTATGATAGTTTAGACTCGGCCACCAACGGGCGCAGTGATATCGACTCAGGCTCAGGGTCGAGCCGGCGCACCAGTCGTCAGTATTCTCTAGACAGTAGGCACTCGCTGTCCGATAGGTGGGTCTCTGTACCTCGTCTCTAACTTCTCCTCCTCTTCCTCTTCTTCTTCCTTCTGCTCCAGCCTGTGACTCCGTCTCGCTGTGACGTCAGTGGTGGACTTGTCCCGTCCTCCTCGCTCGCTGTGCTTGCATGCATGCGCTCTTACCCTATCTTTGTATATGTATATTCTGTATATTTTAGAGGAAACTACCGAACCTGCATCTATCCTTACTGTGTTCCTGTGAAGAATCACAAACGATCACGCTTGTCCCCTCAATCTTTAGAAGTTCTGTGCTGTGTCGTCTTTACATGTGTGGGTGAGCGATCGGCGGGATGCGTGTGTGTGGTGTTTCGTAACAGTCGGAGACAGAGAGGTTAATTGTCGGTTGGAGTTTGTAGAACTGCCCGTGTGAGTCTGTGTGAGCGTGCCCATCTGTTTTCATGACAGCTTGTTATTACAGCTTCACTCTGTATGTGAGACTTTAAGAAGGGCCCTGTCTTATTGTGGGTGTCCCATACTTGGTAATTATACACATTTAATTTCCACTTGTGAGACAGCAGGAGCCCGTCAGCCCAATAATGTGGCCGAGCAGAGAGGCCGAGACAGATTGCGTTCTTTTTCATCTTCATTTCATCATGTTTTGTTTTACATTCTTTGTGAAGAAAGAGGGCAGACATGTGTTTAGACTCACAAATTATGCAAGCATTTGTCACTGTCTGTGTTAGTCTTTGAGACGGAAGAGAGAGAGAGATTGCAGGATAGGTTATGAATAGGAAAACTGGGGGTTGGTGTGATTGAATATTTATTTGTCCATTCAGCCATACTTTTGTGTCCTTTACTGTTCGTGCACTATGCATTATTAAACCAGCAGGACTGTAATCAATAGAGCCGAAAACAACAAAGCCGGTGTTTGTGTGCGTCTGTCAGAGTGTGTTTAAGGAAATAATCTTTCTATGTGTCTCATATCTCTCGCTGATTCAGTCTAATGGCTTCATTTATCATTGTGAATTTATCTGCTTTTTTCCACCAGTCTGCTAAATTATCCTGAACCTCGTCAGGTTAACTTCTTTTGTTTTAAATTAAACAATTTAAACGTTTACTTTATGAAAAATGCATCGTTGTGTTTCTGCAATCTAGTGTGCTTTTGTATGCGTGTGATTCTGTACAAATTTGTGTTTGAACTAACAATCATAGTAAGCATTCCTGTTACTAAACAGATGAGTCCCCTTGCAGTTGCATCACTAGTCCAAAGCCCATTCTGGGTGTGATTTAAAGTCACTCCTCTTCTCCTGGTGGTTAGCTCTCTCCCTTTCCGGTCCCAACACAAGCTCCTTTAGTATCTCTGTGACACCCAAACGTGGAAATAGATATAGTTTACTTAATAACCAAAGGCTTATCTAACACGTGTTTTCGTTTCCCCTGCCTTCAGTCCCACAGACAGTCGTTACGCTTCGTCGGGCGAGCTGAGTCGAGGCAGCTCGCAGCTCAGCGAGGAGTTCGTTCCCGAGGACGGTGAAAGCTTGAGAGGTTCGGAATTCTACGATGAGAACGACTCCTATCATTCCTGCCACTCTTCGGTCAGCTACGGCAAGGAAGATTCCCCAGGTTGGGATGGTGAGGATCACCAAGGCATCTACAGCGATGAGGGAGGCTACCTCAAAGATGGAGGGGAGGAGGGGGCTCTGTATGACGAAGAAGAGGGAGACATGTATGGGGAGGAGGGAGATTACAACTATGAGGAGGAGGAGGAGATGTCATATAAGGAAGATGAAGAAATGTATCCACTGGATGGCACACTGAGTGAAGACCAGGAGCCTCCCTATACCCCCACACCCACAAGCACTGCCCCCACCTTGATGCCCCCTTCTGATGGTCTTTCCTCCACCAGGCCGCCGTTGGAGAAGCAGACGTCGCTGCATCAGCAGCGACTTGCCCAGGATCGGCCTCAGTCTCCCAGCACGGCTGCTGCCCTACCTCCGGTCTCACAGGACAGCACAATGGCCCCTTCTCTTGCAGATTCCACCAAGCCTCCCTTTGCACCCACACAGCAGGATCTCTTTGGCACAACTACAACTACACCCACCCCCACAACTACATCACAGGTTCCAGCTCCAGACAGCAAGCCTCTGGAGCCTGAGCCCAAATCTGAAGTGCCAAAGGAGGAACCTCAGCCCCCCGAGCTTCCTCGGGCAACAGAGAGTGTCCCTCTGGCTCTTGAACAGAAGAAAGAGGAGCCTCCTGTTGCAAGGTGAAGTTGCATATTGTTATAAAGGGAAAATGTCAAAATTACTTATGTAGTTATGTATAGATGTACTTCAAGTTGCTATGACCTACACATGAAAACACCAGTAAAGGGACAAGGACGGGTCACTACTCTTTACTGACACCAACTCAGTATGTGTGGTCTCAGCTCCAAAGACACTTCCCTTTACATCCAATTTCACTACAATTACCTACCAGCAAGTATTAGCCTAAACAACACCTGCACAAAATAATTAATTTTAAAGTTAACACTAACCAACCACTTACTGTATGGAGATAAAATCACTTAAAATAATGTATTCACATACCAGGAAAAGCGTATTTTTAGACAGACACACTTTTTTATTATTTCAGACAAAATAATAATAATAATAATTTTGTATTAAAGCCTATATACCAATCAACATGCTTGTGGTTAACAGATGTTGCTCACCTCTTCATTTCACTGACTTAGCGTGCGGCAATTGTGAGCTGACTTCTTTCTCAAACCATATTTCAGCTTCCCAAAAAGGGAAATCATGGAGCCCGGTCCTGCCAGAGCTAAAGCCAACTGGCTTCGACTTTTCAGCAGAGTACGACTACAACTACAAGAGGTACTGCCAGGATGTGTCTGTGCGTGTTCAGTTTATTTGTATGGTCCTCTTGCTTGCAGTCACTGTCAGGTGAATCCCTTCATTGGCAGGAACGGATCTTAGAGTGCGGTTCTGTTGCTGCTCTGCTGATTGCCTTGTTGCATCAATCCCTGCATGTCCTGTTCTTACTCTGTATTTTTCCAGCTTTCGTTGACTAGTCTGTCATTTTTCCCAGTTTTTGGTCGCAGCTGTGGATTATATTGTCTTGTGTTTGATAGTTTCTGTTTACCCCCTGTATTGTTTTTGCCATTTCATTATTTTCTTTTCAGTTGTTTGCCATCCTCGTAGCGAATGCATGTAGTCCATTCTGATTACCCATGGCAGGAGCTGGCTCTCAGGTGGGTGTGCCCTGTAGTGTGTTAATAAATCTAATTTGTATCGTATGTATCTGTATGGCTCACAGATATTTATGATGAGCGCAAGACGCACATAGGAAGCTGTTGCAAGTCTGTTAAGCGTCCTTTCCAAAGCCTGGTGTTTGTATCAATCAGGGCTATTTCTGTGTATAGTGTGACGTTAGTATCAGTGCCGCATGTCATTGTTTGAAGAGGCAAGCGGACAAAGAACATGTCTTTCAATAATGGAGCAGATAGAATTAGAGAAATGATTACACGGATAGCCATCCCGCTGTAATCTTCTTCCACAAACACAGAACTCACTGCTGATGTCAATAATCCCCACACTCACTAAGAAATACACACAGTGTAGTTTTTTTCACTCTGTTGTAAATCATGACTTTGAGAACACCTGCAGTCATTGAGCGAACTACAAACTACAATTGGAACTACAGCGTTGTAGTTTTCTGGAAGGCTGCCTTTTCCCGGTTTTTCCATCTCATCTTTTCCTTCTCTTTCTCCACAGGCCCGAGGAGAAAGTGTTGGCATTGCCTCTCTGCTTTTGTCAGCAGGGTAAGTAACCATGAGGCTGACACCGCTGCAGCTATTGAAAATCTATAACTTATCGACCAAAAAGAAAGACCAGTGTCTCAGTGCATTTATTTTGTAACTTATTCACAGTGAAGGTTCTGGCTGTTAGCTGAAAATATAGCCGATGTTTAAAGTATGTTTTCTCTCCAGGATGGGTGGTGCTCTGTATAGTATTGACAGCATGCCAGACCTCAGGAAGAGAAAAGCAATGCCTCTGGTCAGCGATCTGGTGAGTTTCTGCACTAATCTCTTTATGTTCCCGTGACTAAGTGTCTCACATTTCCCAGATCCATCTCACTTGGCTCAGCAGTCCGTGCTCTCATCCTTAAATGTTACTCCTGTTTTCTGTCTGATTCTCTACTATGTTTATTTTCACGATCTTTTCTAATATTCTACTATTTTTACTCCTGTTGTTCTCTGTCCTTTACTCCACTGCATCCATGCTGTTAAAGAAAATGCATTGCCCTGCTGTTAAAGTCTGACAGGGCATGAAGCAAGGCAGAGAGGCCAGCGGCAGAGGCCAGAGGTTTTCTCTGACTGACGCTGATGTCTGCTACATGCTGTCATATAACAGACCTTTATTACCCCACCATGCCATGTTCCCTATGCCTTTTTGACACTATCTCATTACCAACACATCTTTTGCAGACTTCTATTGTCACTTTTCTTAGAATGTAGACAGACGCACTCTGTATCTCCGTGTCATTCTAAGGAATGTGCGAATAAAAGAAAACCACAAGCGTATTCAGGTTTTGAGAGCACATTGGTTGTCACAGTTTGGGGTTTTTTAATCATTTAATTATTATCACTCGCTTAATCCTAATTCACACAGAGGTAAAGACCAATCGGTGACTATCTGGCAGTGTTGGGAAGGTTACTTTTAAATCCACTACAGATTAAAATTCCCCAAAATACATTTTGGGGAATGTATTCTGTACATTCCCCAAAATGTATTTTGTAACATATTCCATTACGTTACTCAATGAGAGTAACGTAATGGAATACTTTGGATTACTTGAGATATTATCATGCTTTTTACAACTACATGAATGACTATTGCTGTGTGATTTATTACTTTTACTGAAGGTTACTCGCCATAGCAATGCCAACTAGATTTTTAAATCTTAATATAAAATGAGTAACAGTAAGGTGGATATTAGGTAAAGCTGCACTTTTTGCAGCGATCTCGTATAGAAAACTATTCCGCGCGTATATAAAACAGGTCCGCAGCTCCGAACCGTAGTAAAGGTTCCTCTGGCTAATACGCCGGGTTCGTGTCGGGCTCGTAGCCGAAAACAAGCTTTACTTTGTTGTCTGGGTCAACTTTGCTAA